TTTTGTTCTCTGTCTTCTAAATATATATATATATATATATATATACAGCTTTTAAAGGTAGTGAAATTGTGTAGACGCAATTAACATGTTCTTATAAACTGGTGATTTAAATATCTTCAAGCAAACTTACATTTTAAAGGTAAGTTTGTATTTAACTGCAAAAACTGTGGGATTAGAAAATTTGAAGTAGAATGAGCTACAGGGTTCAACCATCCTGGGCTACTTTCTTTTCATGTTCTTAAAATTGTATATATCTAGTTGTCAAAAACTTGAAATACAAACTTTGTAAAGCCTGGTCGTCAAAACTATGATAACACAAATTACTAACATTATGGTTGATACTTAGAACTAATAAATAAGCTGACTGAACCATTTTATTATGTAGTGGCTCATTATTCGTAAAATAAGCTGGATGAAATATAAAATGACTTAAACTAAAAAAATTTGCAAGAATAAAACATTTCAATCTTAAAAGTAATATGAATTATTGATGTCAGCATGTTTCAATATTTTGCTCGTCTGAACTGCTGTTTCGTAAACTTATGCGACACATTGATAAACGTTTTGATTTACTAGAAGTTTACGAGCGTTAACTATTAATAAATAAGTTTGAGAGAAATAAACAGATTGGACACAATTAAATGCCACTGAAAACAATCTTTATTTAAACACAACATAAAAAAATGGACGATTGTCTCTACTGGATCATTGAATAGCTTGTCAGCTTTCCATCTCTCCAGATTAATCTCTGACAAACGAGTCACGATAAAAAGACAAGTAGAACTGAACAAAAAAAGATGCGAGATATTAACTTGTTCTTGTATTGTGATATGCAGGCACACTATGTTCCTCTACCTTCTATAATAACATAGAATTCTTTCAAATCGTTGATTTAGTTTCTGCATTATCACGGTTAAGTGCGTCTAACGTCATCTTGTTCTTTTGTTAGATGATGTCCTCTCCCTACTAAGATATTTCAGTGTTGTATCTTGAGCTTGGGTTGAATAATTTAATACTGGAATATCCTTTGCTGGCCAAACTATGATGTCAATACTGTTAGGGAACAGAGGTCACAAAGTGATGCTGTCCACTGAACAAAGAAATTTAGGTGATATTGAAAATGCAGACAAAAATCTCAAGATTGTTAACGGAATTGATAGTGTTGATGTATCGTCCTTCTTCAGCTAAGAGAGCTTTATTTTTCTAACAGGGTGGTTGGCCTTTGGAATGGATTATTTTCAGGTTTATTGGAAGCAGTAAATGTAAGGGAGTTTAATGGAAAGCTTTATAAATATTTAAGTAACAAGGGATAGTTTTGAGGTGTTTTTTTAAAGTTAGCTTATTTTTAGTGGATGGGATGTCCTTGAATGTTATAAAAACATTATAAAAAAATACACCATACGTGTATCATTAACAAAGAGATAAATTTGTAAAAGAAAAGTCTGGATCTAGGCTTTAAAAGTCCTGAAGTTAACATATGGACAAGAAAGGACCATTTGGTCCTTCAAGGCTTTTTGTTTAAACAAAACTTTGAAAAAATTAAATGTATAACCCACCATTTATTTTTCAGAAACTCGTTGTTTTCTGTTATAAACCCAAAATAAAGTGCTAATGAAAACACTGCTGGAGATGGTAACACATTGCATAAGCTGATCACCCTGTTACAAAAATCCTGTCTTTTCAAAACTTTAAATTCTTATCCTATTATCTTCGTAATACAACACAAAGAAATCAGAGACCCTTTTTTCTATCAATCCTCCAAATAATCTTGAAAACTTTAGTAAGATCACCTCTTAACATTCTTTTCACAAGAGAAAATAAAGAGATATTAGGCTATTGCTGTAAGATAACCCATCCCTGGTATTATCCTACTAGCCTTTTATTCTGAGCCATTTACCAGCAAGTCTGTATATTTTATTCGAAAAGGAAACCAAAACTTAAGGTATTCCAGATGAGGTGTAACTGATGGTCTGTAAGGAGAAATAAATACATCGTAAAATTATTCAAGCCATACTATACCAACAAAACTCTGCTTTGATGTTGAGTGACTTATCCATCACTATGCTTTTCTTCAATCATGCTAATGAGTGGGTTCCCCTCAATACTAAAGATGTGATCCAAGTTTAACCCAGATGCACTACTTTGCACTTACTACAATTAAAGACCATTCTTCTAATTTACAGATTGATCCAAGTTATTCCGTAATACAGCTAGAAATATCCAGATCTTTAATGTTATCAACACATTTTTACTAATTATGCCCATATCAATATTATTAATGGACTTCAGAATAAGCAAGGGTCCAAATACTGACCCTGATGCATTCCACTACTAACAAGTGCCCAGTCTGACTTGACAGCAATAACAACTTTTTGTTTTCTCATCCAACCATCGTACAATCAAATTAACTAGTTTCCTCCAATGTGGTTTTCTTTGCTAATCTTCTATTTGGCACCTTATACAAATGTTTTTTACTAAGAAGAGTGGCTTCACATGTAGAATGCGAGTTACATCCTGTTGAAGTTGAGGATATCAATGATAATAGCCGAGATTGAATCTATTTGGATTAGGGGGGGGGGATAAAGCTTTTTAGTTGGAATCTGTCGCAGATCATCAGATGAAATTAATGAGAAACTACAGTGATATTAAGATTTCAGTTAATGTGGTCATAATTAAGAGGTATTTTTAATTTCAGGCAGACAGACTTTCAGGAAAAGTTGAGTCAAGCCATCAGGAAGACAGGTTTTTTAGAAACTATCTTCACCAAATATTTGGGAACATATCAAAAACTATGCTAGTTTAGATTTATTGTTAGCTATTAACATGAAAATGACTGAGAGGGTGGACATTGGGGAACAGGTGATCATTGCTCAATTAGGTTTAATATTTTACCACATGGGGAGCTCAGAAATGATATTTTGGTTACAAATTAAAAAAAAAAGCTAATTTTAAAAGGATGCAAGAATAATTATGAATTGGACAACTGATTAACTGGAACAACTGATCAACTCTGGAAAAAATGAATAAATGTTTTAAATATCAAATTTACGCACGTTAAGATGTCACGTAAAAGGCTTGTTAAGAACATTTATAGGTGTGGGGAATAAACTGGCTCATTGGAGAGAAAAATGGCTGGATGGAAGAAATCACAGGATTTTTATTAATGGAGTTCAGTCAAACTGGATTAATGGCACAAGTGGAGTAACCTCAGGGCTCAGAGTTAGGACCATTGCTCTTTTTTTGGTTTACATCAGTGATAAAGATGAAAGAATGGTCAATAAATTACTTAAACTTGCTGATATTAATATCTTGGGTGCTGCTTGCTATGAAGAGGAGGATGCTTCTTTACAAATAAATTTAAGATTATTTGTTAAATACATGCAAGGTATAGTACAGGTGCTACGTGCCTCCTGCCCTCTTAGTTTAGATGTACTCTTTTCAGTTATTGTTGTTTTGCAGGTAGCTCAGTTTGGATGCACAGATTCATTAAAGTAACAATAACTTTCCCTGTTTGAAAAGCAAGGCAAAATGTGAGTTCACTAATTGGCAGGTAACTGACTTTCTTGCAGGGAAGATAGCACATGATGTCCAAAAATAGTTATCTTTCCTGTTGACAAATTGAATAAGGGTCAGGGGTAGCTAGACCTTAGAATTTAACTCTCAATGGACACACAACTTGAACGTGAGATACATTTCAAGTGAAAAATTAGCTCTGTTTATGTATTTATGGTCAGGTTTGGCCCTGCAAGATAATACTTTATGCTAATTTAATTAAGATTTATACAAGACATTACTAGAGTTTGTGTTTTCAGCTTAAACTTTTGATAAACTTTTTTTGTAGCTTCAACTCTGATAACTTTTTTAAATTTTAGTTCAATATTAAAGTGGTGTGTTACTTTTAACTTGATTATTGTTACAGCAATTTAACTTAAAGTTTGTGAAGTTGTAAATTGTTGGCTTGGAATGAGAATTTGTAGCTTTGTTTAAATTTCAATTTTAGATTGGCTTCAATTTGATATTGGATTTATTTCATTGTCAACATGACTTTAAAAATATTTACCTTGCTCTTATCAGTTCAATGTGCACAGCTAGACACTTTTCCTTGTTTTGCTTTTGGAATTAAATGGTATTGTAATTATGTTTTTGTGAATAAACATTTGTGTACTTGTCAAACTATCTGTGTTGAGTCGCTTCTTTTTGAAGATCCCAGCTGTAGATCAGATAAAGTGTTATACATTTTAGTCCAGTATCCTCCAGTCAGTAGGTCGAACTGGTTGCTCTGCTAAAAAAAAACATTTTACTGGGAATCACAAATGAAAGTGGGTTATCATAATTTTAAATATAAATTTAATGGGAATAAACTTAACATAGTTATGGAAAAAATAGATTTTGGTGTTCTGGTTGAGTAGTTTCTTATACCATCTAATCACTGTGCTTTTGCTATTGGTACAGCAAATAGTATTTTAGGTTATATCAAGAGCAACACCAGCTTAAAGATGGCCTAACCAGTGATCTATACAATGGAATTATAACTCATTTGAAGTATTGGGTTCAGTCTTGGGCTCTTTATCATAGGAAGAACATTGAATTGTAAGAAAGGATTCAAAAAAGGGTTACTAGGAGCATTAAAATCTTTAAAATTATTTCTTCTTGAAAGATTGGAAGGGATATGTTTAACATTGTTAAGGGCATTTATAATGTTGACACATCATCTTTTTTGTACTTATTTATAAGAAGGGTAAGACATGGGGACACAAATGTTGGCAGTGTAACAGTCATCTTCATCTACCTTTAAAACAGTTTTATTTTTCTAACGGGATGGTTGACATTTGGAATGGGTTGCCTTCAAATGTAGTGAATGCAACAACTTTACCTTTACATTAAGGTAGTTTAAGAGAAGGCTTGATAAGTATTACTATTAAATGATACGGTCTGGTTATATGGTGTTTTTAAGTTTGCTCACAGTTTAGTTTAATGGATGGGAGGGGGGTCAACCTGAACTTAAAAGGACTAACAGATCCTTGTTGCCATTTTATTTTTATGTCAACTTCGTTTATCAGTACAAACGGGTTATTTGTTAAACCGCTATCTCAGTGTATGACTGAATGCTTAGTTCAATTTCAATATACTTTCTTGTTAAACATAGTATCTTGTAACGAGAGAGAATAGTCTAGAGTATGTTTTAAAAGTTAAAACTCCTTCTAACTGCAGTAACCGTTTTTGAAGTAAAATGAGATACCCTCAATTTATTGAAATGATATTTTCTTTTGTTCATCAGGAATTTGAAAACGGAGCATAATTTATTCTCAATAAGCAAAATTATTACCTCTCTTCAACTTTTTATTTCACCTAGAAATTCCGCCATCTTAAAAGTTCCTTCCGCTCCTACAACTAATTCTCGTTTGATACCATGTTGTTCAAGCCGCTACTACTCTGACCTCACATTACGTAATACTCGTAATCCAGTAAATTGAAAAAGGATGACCTGGAATATTATAATTATTTCAAATATTCCTGCTTCACAATCACTTAGACATTCAAATATTGCTTTTAGATAAAATATTTTCTTTAAATCTAGTACGTTTTATTACCGAAATAATATACCTGGTGCTGAATTTTTGTAATATAGAATACGGTATTGTTTCACCTTTTACATCTTCCGGGTTTTTTTTTTTTTTTTTTTTTTAAGTCCATTAATAAGTGGTGGCTGAGTGTGCATCCTGTCTATTCTCCGTTTCAGTATTATTATTAGCGTTTCGTGTGTGGTAGATTGTTTGAGAGAGAAATATAATATTTAATTTTGGAGTTCGTTTTCCAGAAGTACAACTATGGCTCTAAAAGCAGTTTGTGTTCTAGTTGGTGAGACTGTGAAGGGAACTGTTTACTTTTCGCAAGAGGTACGTTTCTCACTGTAGTCTATTATAAAGTTTTTACACTTATTACAGTTTTCTTTCGAAAAATCTGCCCGCCGCAAAGTAGTCTCAAGCCCTAAGCCTAATATAAGGATTCCATTGAGTTTTTGCATTCGAAACAATGAACAGATATTGTAACAATAAAATATTTTTCTTAGGACATTATAAGTGTTGAAGTAAATATATGAAACAAAACTACCGTGTAAATTGGCAAAAAAATAATAATTAATATTTGAAAGCTCGAACTTCATGAATTAAATATTATTAACGTTTTTTTCTTTCACAGAAATACTCAAGTAGTCGTATGTTTCTTTTGTTTTTGAATTTGATACTTTTAATTTTTATGCTGTTATTTAAACGCCGAAGATTGTGAAGAACCAGTAAAAGTGTGATAGTATTAGATTTTAACGAAACCTTGTGTATCTTGTTCCTAACTTTATTTTTCTAAAGAATACAGATTGTCCCACTTCAATAACTGGAGAAATAAGTGGACTTACTCCTGGTCTGCACGGATTTCATGTTCATGAATTTGGTGACAATACAAATGGTATGATATTTTTGAACACCTAAACATTAAACTATCATTATCATATATTAAGTATCAGTATTACGATCTTGCATTAAGCTAGTTTAATGATTTAATGCATAAAGTTTACTATTGAAGTAGGAATTTTTTTGTTTGTTTATGTAAATGTAATTTCTTTAGTTATATTTATAAAAACCCTCTTTAAGATTAGTTGTAAAATAAGTAATTTTTTTAGATTCTTGTTTTAAACCCCAAGTAATGATCACTTACTTCCCTCATTTTTTTCCCCTCTATTAGTGGTTGCTGAAATCTGAGTTTGATTTTTGGAGAAACTTTAAATTCTGTTGTTCATAATGATAGAACATCATTTCTTTGGTCATTCCATTCCAGTTCCTTTTGTAAAATTTATTCAAGGTGTCTTAGTAGTGTGGATACCATGTATAGTTTAAATAGACCAGAGACCACGTTGTTAGGAACATAAATGCAGCTGAAAGTCAGATTTGAAATATTCCATGCAAGAAAAAAAGAAAAGTGATTGTAAAAGTTAATAAGTTTTAAGGTTCAGTTGCTTCTCTCCTTTAGCTGTTAGTACCTCTCCAGCCTTTCCTTTCACCAAGAAGTTCTCCTGCCATTTTTATCGAAATTAGGAGTCTCTTATTCCAACTCGACAATTTCCAAATAATGCCCGAAGTGCGTGCAAGTGTACATGCTTTTACAAGCAAGATTTGAGCTATAAAATTAGCGTTTACGTGAATATAGCTTACAGTCGTTACAAAATGTACAGTTGGTTGTCGTTTCTTGTTGTAGATCAAATGTTAATTATGTACGTCTGAAACTTATCTTTTCGCTGTGTTAGTGAAATAACTTTTTATTTCTATCGGTCTGTATATCTTTATTTTAAAGAACTTTTGCAAGTTTTCTAAGAATTGTTGTTGCACTGAAACCGTAGACATCATTTCCTTACAAAACTTTAAGTATTTTGGTTTTATAATAAGAGTATATTCTTTGTAACGTTACTTGTATTTCTTCTTGTTACATGTTTTTTTTACTTTTTGACAGGATGCACCAGTGCCGGACCCCACTTCAACCCTTTTGGTAAGGAACACGGTGCCCCAACAGATGAGAATAGGTATGTAGGGGGGGGGGGGCAGTAAATGTTTCATTAACATACCTTGTATTAGATACATTTAAAGCTGAAATTGTCCATACTTGATAATTACTTTGTTGGGTGTGTATTAGGTTTCTAAATGTATTTTTTTTTTTTTAAGACTGCAGAAAATTGCAAAATATTTTGTCTTTATTTCTTGTGATCAGGAAAAGTCTGTATATGGAATACATTTTTCCTGTAGGGGAAATTTGGTATTTTCCTTATAGGAAGAATAATTAATCATTAGATTTGGAGCCAAGAGTCTCGTTTTCTTAAGAGTGTCTTTAATTTTCTTTCCAATCTTTCATGCCTCATGACTTGTCCATAAAAAATTAACCTTGTTTAAAGAAATATTTTTGTTATTCTTCTAAGTAGTGATTTTTTTTAATTATAAAATTAAAACAACTTGAAGCTTTTTTTAATCGGTGAATTTTTTTTTCTACAGGCACGTGGGAGATCTTGGTAATGTAGAAGCTGGTAATGATGGTGTGGCCAAGGTAGATATTACAGACAAGCAGATTTCTCTCACCGGACCCCTCTCTGTCCTTGGTCGTTCAATGGTTGTAAGTATATCCTCCTGTAACCAAACTTCAGTAATATGAAGGTTATATTTGTTTATAAATAGAGGCGAAGTTTGGATAAATGTGATTTATTCTGAAGAACTCGTGTTTCAATAAGCTGCAAATGTTTTAATTAACAGAAGTGTAGTTTTTAAGCATGAGACCACTGCGAAGCTTTCCAGAGCCTGATTGTAATTTTCACTTTTTTGATAGAGAATAAATAAGTACTTCTGAGAGTTAAAAACAAAATCTTTTTTTGAATTTACTAAGATTTGATCTCTTCCCTTATGGTATACCCTTTATGCCCTCAACTATCTTTGTCCCTCCCCCTTTAAAAAAAAAAACAAAAATCCTAGAAATGCCACAATCAGGAGACCTTTCATTCAAAACGAGAACTGGTCAGTTGAGCCGGCCAATGAGAAGCAAAAGGTTCTTTGAAATGTTATTTACGTATGTAGTGTAATACTTTAAATTTTACAGTTAAACCCAATAGCCAGATGAAGTATTGGGAACCAACGGACCTAAGATTTCTGATTAAAGATTCATGTAAGCTGTAAGAAGAATGTGAAAAAAATCTTCAGTTCGCATGATTTATCACAAATGTTAGGCCTATTGGTTTGTAAGGCTTAGCGACATTTCAGCATTTAAACCATAACGTGTTATTTGGAATGAATAAACAAGTGTTCTTTAATAGGTTCATGCTGATCCAGATGATCTGGGAAAAGGTGGTCATGAACTCAGCAAGACTACAGGAAATGCTGGAGGAAGACTGGCTTGTGGTGTTATTGGTATTGCTAAGTAAAAAAAATCAAAGTTGTACCAAAAAGTATTGTTGCCCTAAAAATGGCCCATGGTTTTAATACAATGATTGTTGTATTTAGGTGTATATTGTAACACAAGTTCTGAATTGTTGAAAAATAAATCTAATTTCGTAATTTTTTGTTGTTCTTTTTGTTACAGATTGGTGTAAAAATTAAGATGATAAGATTTTATATATATAAAATAAAATACAAACATTATAATGGCCCATAAGCTTTTCCTCGGTGCTTAAACTGAGAAAGTACTGTCAATTTGTCCTTACAGGTATATATATATGGAAGACCTTTGTCTGACTTTGACAAACTTAACTTAGGGTGCATTAAATTAAACGTAACCTCGTTACCAAGGTATTTTCTACATTGGCATCGAACGTTAGTTTATTTCATTGGTCCTTACAAATGAGACAAACTTGGCGATCCGTATAATCGTGGCCTGATGGTTGCGGGTTCGAATCCCCCATCACCAAACATGCTCGTCCCCTTCAGCCGTGGGGTGTGTGTATGTTATAACGTGACGATCATTCCCACTATTCGTTGGTAAGAGTAGCCCAACAGTTTGCGGTGGGTGATGTTGACTAGCTACCCTTCACCATTGTAAGAGTCCTAATGGTATTTCTTTGGCTTCTGACCCCAAGCTATACTGACGAGACTTAGAGGCGAAACTTCGGTCCACAGCAAAGGGTCCGGCCAATCAAAGAACGCATTAGGACTCTTCGTCACAGACTCGTTTCAATTTCACCTCTGGTGAAAAAAGAACTCTTTGACACACACACACACACACACACACACACACACACACACACTACACACACACACACACACACACACACACTACTAATTACTTAATAGTTACTATAATATACGAATAACG